GGTTTCAGATTTTTAAAGGCACAGGAATGGGGGGATGGGGGGGGATGAGGGTGTGGTGGGGTAGAGTGGTCTTTTTTTTTTTTTGTCTGAGGCAGAGTCTCACTCTGTTGCCCAGGCTGAAGTGCAGTGGTGTGATCTTGGGTCACTGCAACCTCTGCCTACTGGGTTCAAGCGATTCTCCTGCCTCAGTCTCCTGAGTAGCTGGGATTACAGGCATCCACCACCACGCCTGACTAATTTCTGTATTTTTAGTAGAGGCGGGGTTTCGCCATGTTGGCCAGGCTGATCTTGAACTCTTCACCTAGGTGATTCACCCTCCTAGGCCCCCCAAAGTGCTGGAATTACAGGCGGGAGCCACTACACCTGGCCAGTGGTCTTGGAAAATGTAACATTTGGGTGTAAAAGCAGGAGTGCCTGTTCTCACTTGGGTATGTGGGCACAGGCTGGAGGGTGGAGCCCTGCCCTTCTCTACTAAACACTCCTTGCCCCATTTCCGTATCAGTGCTACTTCTGCTTGGATATTTACTCTTTCTATTTACTCTATCATGTCTTCTTGAAAACCTTTTGGTCTCTTGTCTCTACCTTATCAGTCACCTTCTGTCCAGATTTCTGTGGAACAGAGAAAAACATATGAAGGAAAAGCTTGTGGTACGGAATGCAGTAATCAATTGGTACAGCTGATATGCTTCAGGAAATTAAGACAAAAACCTGATTGATCTGAAGAGAGAAAATTCAGGTTTAACTAGAGGATAAAAATAGGTCATCATGGTCTCAGATGAAAGCCAAAGAGAGAAAAAGAGGCAAAGTGTACATGAGACAATGAGAATTCTCTCCAGAAAAGACATATTTACAGCATCTCATCTCAACAAAAACACTTTTCCTCTTAATTGGCTGAAAGGCACTCCTCAGCTAAGGGAGCACTAGCCTGGTCATCTGGGATGTCCTTTTGAATATTTTCCCCAGGTTCCCATTTTCCTGCCAGCTGGTATTGCTTCCATAATTTTCTAATTCAGTGACAATGGAAACCATTCAGTCCCCCACTTTCTCTCCTGTACTGCTCAGCTTGTGTAACTCTAGTTGTCATAGGATCTCAGTTCTGGTATTTTGGATTGTGGGCAACGGTTTCATAAAGCAATTTTTAAGAAAAATGAAAACTCGTATAGCACTTACTGTAAGCCAGGCACTGCCCTATGCCCTTTATAAATATTAAATCATTTGATTTTTAGAACAACCCTAGGCGGCAGGTACTATTCTTTTTGCCATGTTGCAAACAAATAAACTGAAGCATAGAGAGATTCAATAACTTGCCCAAGGTGATATGGCTAGTATTTGGCAAAGCCAGAATTTGAGTCTATTTAGCCTGCATTTAGTGTCTAGCCTCTTAACCACCACTCTGTGCTACCTCCTACCTACCACAGTTATATGCAATATTCTCTGATACTTTCTATTCTAGTTGATATTCTATACTTTTTTTTTTTTTGAGATGTAGTCTCATTCTGTCGCCAGGCTGAAGTGCAGTGGTGTGATCTCAGCTCACTGCAACCTCCACCTCCCTGCCTCCTGGGTTCAAGTGATTTTCCTGCCTCAGCCTCCCGAGAAGCTGGCACTAAAGGTGCACACCACCATGCCCAGCTAATTTTTGTATTTTTAGTTGAGACGGGGTTTCACTGTGTTAGCCAGGGTGGTCTCAATCTCCTGACCCCGTGATCCACCCACCTTGGCTTCCCAAAGTACTGGGATTACAGGTGTGAGCCATTGTACCCAGCCCATACTCTATAGTTTTAATTTTAAAAATGGTGTCTGGGTGTGATTCATGAAATGATCTTGCCACTTTTTAATGGGTACCAACACAAAGTTTAAAATCCATTGGGCAGGGGTGGGAGGAGGGAGAGGATTGGGAAGAATGGCTAATGGGTGCTGGGCTTAATACCTGCATGATGTGCACAGCAAACTGCCATGGCACACATTGTAACTATGTAGCAAACCTGCACATGTACTCCTGAACTTAAAATAAAGGTGGGGAAAAAAAACAAAACACTGGGTTAGACCCTCTCTGTTGTGAGATGGACACATCAGCCTGCCTTTGCCTGGTGCCTGAAACATTCCATTCATGTCTCTCTTTGTTCTGATGCCATGCGCACCCAGCAAGTCAGTGCTTAGGATTTGGCTTCCCACTGAGGTCCGCCTGCAGGGAAATAACGCATTGGTTATGTGGACTTTTGAGTCTCCCCGTGAATTAGAAAACCATCTCACTGGTTTAGGCTATGAGATTAGATAATGTGAATCTGCCCCCAAGAAATGGGTCCTTGAGAAATGGAGTCATCAGATCAGACTTCAGTGCCAGCGAGGCCGAGGACTGTGAGGACCTTGATTTTGTCAAGGTCCACTCTGACAGTTTTTGTAGGATAGCTTGCAAGATTTCTTCCTGGGGTGGTGAATCCTAGCCCTGAGGACTGACTGTGGGAGCATGATACTAAACATTTGTTCCATAACCAGAAATAGGCCCAATACCTTTGTTTTTCCTCTTTGTCCTCATTTACTCAAATATCTTTCTACAGAAAAGAAACTGATGTTACTTTCCCACCTCAGCTTTGTTATACTGCACGAATAAATACAACACATCACCTCCAAATAATTGATTGAAATGCAATCCCTTTCCCTCTCACTCCACCGTGTCTCTCTCTCAAGATGGTATCTAGTGGGGCCATGTCTTCATGCATTATGCATCTCTATGATTATACATTAACTTCTTGAGAACTAGAAAGTGATACCTAAATTCTTCAAGCATGTTTGGTTATGCTACATAATTGATTACATCTTTTATTTATAAAAATTTACTTTCTGGAAGTTCAGACATAAGTTCTGCCAACCCATCTTCTCTATTAGATTTCAACTCCCAGCATGAAGTCCAAAAACTCACCTACAGATTTCAGTCTTTGTAAGCCCTTAAGCAGGCAGCCAGCCAGAATGAAGTCGGGCATTCCAGACAAGTGAGACTGGCCTTAAGCCAACAGGCACCTGTACTGACCTCTTCCTATGGGTATACAGCTTGCCAAGACCTTAAGTGCCTGGGGAAACCTATTTCCAATTTTAAGGCCTTAGTAGCTGCTGTGTCCCAAATTATAAGCAGTTAGGGACTTTTTGTACCTGAGTAACTGTAATCAGGTAATGGGAGAAGTTGTTAAACCTTCCTAGTTTGTATGAGTGGGAGGATAATATAAGTAAAAAGAAATATGGTAACCTTCTGGGGAACAGACTGCACAATGAAAACATTTTGTTTTGTCATTTAAAACATATTTGGGAGAAATTGTAAACAGACAAAATAAACATAACTAGCATGGTCAACAAACACAATTATTGATGTAATCAAGTTATAACTTTTTTCAGCCAGGCTCCATGGCTCATGCCTATAATCCAGCAATGTGGGAGACTGAGGCAGGTGGATCACTTGAGCCTAGGACTTTGAGACCATCCTGGGCAACATGGAGAGATCTCGTCTCTACTAAAAATAGAAAAATTAGCCAGGTGTGGTGGTGCGTGCCTGTAGTCCCAGCTACTCAGGAGGCTGAGGTGGGAGGATGGCTGGAGCCCTGGAGTGTTGCACTGAGTCGAGATTGTGCCACAGCAATCCAGCTTGGGCCCTAGAGCCAGACCTTGTCTCAGCAACGACAACAACAAAAAAGAAGTTAATAGCCAGGTGTGGTGATGCCTGTAATCTCAGTACTTTGGGAGACCAAGGCATGAGGATTGCTTGAGGCTGGGAGTTCAAGACCAGCCTGTGCAACATAGTGAGACCCTGTCTCTACATAAAAATTAAAAAAATTAACCAAGCATGGTGGTGCATGCCTGTAGTCCCAGCAACTCGGGAAGCTGAGGTAGGACGGTTGCTCAAGCCTAGGAGGTAGAAGTTGCAGTGAGCCCACGATTGCACCACTGCACTCCAGCCTGGGTGACAGAATAAGACATGTCTCAAATATATACGTGTGTGTGTGTGTGTGTGTGTGTGTGTGTGTGTGTGTGTAATTTGTTCCCCTGTTGACCTTTTACACTTTATTTAATAGGCTGGAGTGCAGTGGCACAATCATGACTCCAGCTCACAACACCCAGACAGGGCCACGACAGCAGGATAGAGGGGCATGCGGGAGCTACTCTTCTTTTCTGGGGTTTCCTGGGTAGAGTGTGCCCTGGGGACCAAACGTGGCCACTCAGAATAGAGAGCTGGTGTGAGGTCAGATTGGGTCCTGTCTCACAGGACAACCTACTAGAGAGGCAGAGAGACCCCAGCAGCAAGAAGCTAGAGGTGGGATAAAGGTGAGCTTTAATAGGCAGGAGGACAGTGGCATAATCATGGAGGATTTATTTCTAAATCCTTCTGGGCTTGAGAGATCCTCCTGCCTCAGCCTCCTGAGTAGCTGGGACTATAGGTAGGAGCCACTATATCCCACTAATTTTTTAATAATTTTTTATAGATATGGGGGTCTCACTGTGTTGCCCAGGCTTGTCTTTAACTCTTGATTTCAAGCAGTCCTCCCGCCTCAGCCTCCCAAAGTGCTGGGATTGTAGGTGTAAGCCACTGAGCCTGGCCTCAGTCATTTTTAGGAAATAGACTGTCCTCCTGTCACTCTAACTTATAAGCTCAGTCTCAGTTCAGAAATTAGAATGACCAGCCCAAGCTGAGAATCCAACCTTTGAACTTGATTTAATGTTTGTCATCCCTTCCTCATCCCAGGCCTGGATCCAACTGGGAGTCTCAGTGGGAAGGGCTAGGGGGTAGGTAGGAGTCTGTCTATGGCTTCTCTCTTTCTATGCATCTTTCTTTCCCCAGGATTGGGTGGGTCGGTAGAGAGTTAGGGACAAGGGATTAGGGATAAGGAAATTAGAAAGGTTGGCTTTCCCCTCCCTGAGCCTGGCCATTGTCTGATGTGTTCGGCATTGTGGTGGGCTCTTCAAAGACCCCCATCACTGGTGATCTCTCACCTGTAATTGTCTGGACATAGAAAGATGCATTTATTTATTTATTTATTTATTTATTTATTTATTTATTTATTTATTTATTTTGAGACAGAGTCTCGCTAGAGTGCAGTGGCACAATCTCAGCTCACTGCAACTTCTGCCTTTCAGGTTCAAGTGATTCTCATGCCCCAGCCACCTGAGTAGCTGGGATTATAGGCATGTGCCACCACACCCAGCTAATTTTTGTGTTTTTAGTAGAGAGGGGGTTTTGCCATGTTGGCCAGGCTGGTCTCAAACTCCTGGCCTCAAGTGATCTACCCACTTCAGCCTCCCAGAGTGGTGGGATTAAAGGCATGAGGCACCATGCCAAGCCAGAAAGATGCATCTTTATTTTAGGTGATACCTGGGGATTTATTTCTAAGACCCCAGGAATCCTATGCCCATCTCTGGCTTCTTGCTGCTGGGGTCTCTCTGCCCCTCTAGTAGGTTGCCCTGTGAGACAGGATCCAATGTGACCTCACACCAGGTCTCTCTTCTGAGTGACCATGTTTGGTCCACAGGGTACACTCTACCCAGGAAGCCCCAGAAAGGCAGACCAGCTCTTGCATGCCCCTCTAGGCTGCTCTCATGGCCCACTCTGGGTGTCGCAGGTATGCCTCTGGGACCTGTATGTCTGCTGGTTCCAGCTATGGTGAAACTACTTTAAAGCTCTCCAAGCGGTCCATGCAGGCTGCCTGACTGGGCTGGGAATGAAGAAGATACAACTCTTGCCCATCTTTCTTTGGGAGATTTTAAGGGGGACATTAACAGTTCCCCCCACAAAAGCTCTTCACCTATATGCCCACCCCCTCTCTGACCCCTTTTCATATCCTTGATCTGGAGGAGGCATCCAAGAGTGACAGAGCTGGGTCTCAATAATTTCCTTTGTGAATTCTGTGTAAGGGGGTGTGTTTCACAGTCATGTGGGTATCTGATATCTATCATATTGGCGCCTCAATTGAAATGGAGGCAGAAAGAGTCCCATTCTAATGTCTTGTTACATAAACAATAGAGAAAAAGGCAAAGGTGTATGTTTTAGTTCTCTGTTGCTGCCTACCAGCCAGAAATGGAGTGGTTTAAAACAACACTGATAGACTATTTCTCATTATTTTTTGCTGGCTGGTTAGCTCCTCTGCTGGTCTCACCTGGGCTGGCTCGTGCAGCTGCTGTCACTTACACGGCTGGTGGTTGGTACTGACAGTTGATTGGGTGCCTTGGTTTTCTTTCTCATGCTTCTCATTCCCTGGTAGGTGACACTGGTCTCCTTTCAGGACAAGCATGGCAGTGTTTCAAGGGAACCAAGTGGAAGCTCCAAGGCCTCTTGAGGCCCAGGCTCTGAAAATCACACAGCATCACTTTCATACATTCTGTCAGCCAAACAAAATCACGAGACCAGCCCAGATACTAGATATAAGAAGTGGGAAAAGAGGCTGGGCACAGTGGTTCGTGCCTGTAATCCCAGTACTTTGGGAGCCAAGGCAGGCAGACCGCTTGGGCCCAGGAATTTGAGACAAGCCTAGGCAATATGGCAAAACTATCTCTACCAAAAAAAAAGAAAAAAAAATTAGCTGGATGTGGTGGCGCATGTCTGTAGTCCCAGCTACTTGTGAAGCTGAGGTGGGAGGATCACTTGGGCATGGAAGGCAGAGGCTGCAGTGAGCTCTGGTTGCACCACTGTGCTCCAGCCTTGGTGTTGAAGTGAGACCCTGCTCAAAGTAATAATAAAAAAAAGAATTTGGAAAGGAGTCTCTACCTTAGTCTTAGTCTTAGTCTTTCGCTCTCCCCTATAGTTCACGACGCAGAATTCTGCCTCCGTCAGTTCTGGCTCTAGACTTTCTGAGCAGATTTAGGGTAAAGGATTAGGGGAAGAATTAGGGTAGAGGATTAGGGGAAGAATTAGAAGTTGTCTCCTTATTGGTTTGGCTTACATTTGGAAGGGTAGAAGGATGAGAAAAGAAAGATCCAGAAGTTGAGAGGAGGGAGGAGAGAAAGTAGAGCCAACTGTGACTGACCTTGGAAAAGCACTCCAAAAGGATAAATCGCAGAATGGGAACTGGGAGTCTTTAATTTAGGGACTAGGGTTCCAGGCCAGGCAGGTGCTTTCATTAAGGAAGTTATGAGTAAGTCAGTATGTCTGTCTGTGCTGGGTGAGTGAGACCCTCCAAAGCTTTTTGTGAAAATGAACTTCACTATAGATTGGATTCCACCTTGGGAACTGGCTAAAGCCACACTATGAGTTGTTGGCTGACACTGGTTCCATAATGCCCAAACCCAGCCTGACATCCTCCCCGTCCACCTGCCCCACTGGGCACACCTTGCACTCCCATCCTTTCTCCCCTCTGACTTTTGTATTCCTAGGGAAGGTGAGCAACAGCAAAGCGAGTGCTGGGTGCCAGCAAAACAACCTTCAGGTTCCCAGTTTCTGGAAGAGGTGAGTGAGAGAAGCGAGGGAATCAAAACAATGATTTCCTCCATGTCTCTGCTCTTCTTTGGGCTGTACATTCAAAGCTCAGGGTTTTCATTTAAAAAATCACTGCTAAAGTCCTTAGGGGGTGGATGCTTTATGTGTGTTTATCTCAAGTTTAAGTTGAAAGGACCTGTGTTTCCCATCAGATGCCCCCAGCAGGAATAAAGTGGGAGGCTGGTGACATTTGAAGGACAGGTCAGATTGCTGAGACACGAAGTGCCCAGGGCTGGTGTTGAGCCTGCACAGGTGAGCAGGCTCAGGCTGCAGACTGTTGAAGCAGATAAGCTTGAGTGGGGATAGAGAGGGGTCGGGACCTGTGCTTGCCTTACATTTTAAACACATCAAGTCCACAGAAGAATTTATTTTCTACTTTCAGAGAACAGATATATTCCTCTCTTTAAGAGAATACTCTGTGCTAAAAAAATTATCAAGTTTTCATTGTGGCTTTTCATGATCATGAAGCATGGCTAAGCAGAAGCCTGTCCAGCTGCACCTGACTCTACATACTTCCTGAAGTACTCTGTATTCCTCTTGTCCTCTTCCAAGCCTTGGCCCATCTCAATCCTAGTGCATTTCTTTGAGCACACACGTAGTAATAGATACTTTAGAGCAGAGTTGGGGTGAGTTTGGGGTGTGTGAATCCCTGTGCCTTGGCTGGGGCCATCCCCACACATGACCAGCTGGCAGAGTGAGGCTTTACTAGCCACGACCTCCCTCCAGGGCAGTGCGTGGAGGTTGCCGGCAGGGGGTGCTGCGCCCACACTGCTGGCACCGGGATGTGGGCATTACCAGGCTTCATAAATTGCTGTAAAGTTAAAACTGGAGGCGATGTTAGAAACCGTGTCATCCACTGGTTTCCATTTGATCGTGAGGAACCTATGATCCTGAGAGTTGAGGTCCTGGTGGGAATGGAGCTAAAATAGAGCCCTCTCAACTTCCAGGCCAGGACCTCCACTTGTCACATTCCCATGTCCTTCCCCTCGAGTGACTACAGATGTCTTACCAGTGTTGAGAGGGAAATGATTTGCATGTGGAAGAATCAGCAAGGACAAGAACAGGTACTTCGTGCTCTTTGCCTGGGAAATCAGAGAGTGAAGCTTTTTGCATTTGGCCCTGATAACAGTCAACCCTCAAATAGTAGGGGTGAGATAATTATTTTTAAATGATTATATTTAAAAAATCAACTTGGGGAAAAAAATTAGAATTTGCTACAAATCATCAAAACATTTGCCCATCCTCTGAGAGGCCATATATTGTGGTGTCAGTCTTCACCTCTGTTATTACCAGCTGGATGATCTTGGCCAAGTTTCTAAACTCCATTTTGCCTCAAATGTAAAATGGGTTTGGTGAAGATTAAATGAGATAAGACATAGAAAGTGCTTTTTTTTGGGTCATGACATATCCTAAGTACTCAAAAGTGCCAACTGTAGTAATAATAGGGGCTTTTGGCAGCTATAACTTGGAACTGCTGTGTAGTTGTATCGACCCCAATGGAGAAATGTTCCCTTTCACCAGTTGGATATGTAGCTGTGGGGTGGGTAGCTTCTCTACGATCTACCAGGATCCTCTCCAGAAACCAAAGCTATGGCCAGAAGTTGGCTAAGGTGAGGGAGCGAAGAGTAGGTATGGAAGGGTAGAGGGAATGAGTGAGTGGCTTGATAGCCTAAGCTGGAGAGTAAGAAAGAATTGAGAAAGAGAGCAGGCATGCTGGGGTGTCCTTCTTATAGGCAAACAAATAAATAAATAAATAGCCATGAAACAGACAGTGATAATCTTTTTTAATGTAGAAATCTTTTGGTTCTTTTTAATCAAGTATTTTATGTGATACTTACAGAATACATTTATTAAGTATTTTGTACAGCTCTTATTTTTTGTTTTTGTTTTACAATTTGAGTGATACCTGCAAAAGGTAGATATAGTTCTAGATAGCAGATTTTGTTTTTGGCTAATTAGATTGACCTTGGGTCCAATCTGTAATATGTTTCAAATATTTAAATTTTGTTTAGATTAATCTTCTCTGTGACTGTTTTTGCCCCCTAGCCCTCCTAACTCATTTTGCCATTGATATCAACTTGACTTTGTTTTTTTCTGTTTTCAGAGTTTGATCCAGTAGTTGTAAAATGCTTTCAGATCACAACATGCAACCCTGCCTTGACAGAAAGGCACAGTATCAATAAGAGATGGCCAGAAAGGCAAGCATGAAAATAGTATCCCTGAGTTTTTTCCAGTGGCACATGATACAACATTGAATAATTGCTGGGTATATTTGACAAATTGAAAATACAGTTCATTAGGGAGCTGGGGAACTTAAAAATCAGGAAAAATTATGAGGGGATTATAGTGTGCAGCCACCAGAAAATGGGGCAGCAGGAATCTGGGCTGAATTGGTGATCTGTCTGAGTGGGAGCTGCAGCCACTGAGCAAAACTTTCTTTAGTCAAGGTGACTTAGAGGGAAATTGTGATAAGTAGAATGAATGAAAAAAAATGAACATCCAGAATATCTAGAGAATGCAGTGAAATCCACCAAGGGCAATACTATTTCTACTGCATGAATGGTCAAAAAAAATCTGAACATGTTGTTCACACAAGAGGCAATACAAATAGAAAACAAATCCTTAGAAAAGGACCCATCCTCCTTAGTAATTATAAGAAGTTAAGACACAAAACTCTGCAATGCTGTTAAACTGGCAAATTATAATTATAAAATCAAAAACTGGCAAGGCTTTTGAGAAAGTTATATCCTTATACTAACATAAATTAGTACAGTATTTCTGGAAAGCAACATGGCAAAGTGTAATAAACCGTAAAACATCACATCCTTTGAGCTAGTATATGTTTGAGACTACATCCTGGAGAAACAAAGAAAAATAGAAAAAAAATCCTTAAAATCATTAAAAAAAATTAAAAACAAACTATGGTTCAGCATGGTCACTCATGCCTGTAATCCTAGCACTTTGAAAGGCTGAGGGATCACTTGGGCCCAAGAGTTTGAGACTAGCCTGGGCAACATGACAAGACCCTGTGTCTAGAAAAATTTTATTAAAAAATTAGCTGGGCATGGTGGCATGCATCTGTAGTTCCAGCTACTCAGGAGGCTGAGGTGGGAAGATTGCTTGAGCCCAGGAGGTCGAGGCTACAGTGAGCTGAGGGCACCACTGCACTCCAGCCTGGGCAACAGAGCAAGACCTTGTCTCAGAAAGAAGCCCCAAAGTATGGTATAAAATGAAATATAATATTACTATTAAGAATGATACATATTTTGTGAGACAGGGTCTCGCTCTGTCACCCAGACTGGTGTACAGAGGCACAATCTCGTCTCACTGCAACTCTCGCCTCCCAGGCTCAAGTGATCCCCCCACCTCAGCCTCCAGTGTAGTTGGGACCACAGGTGCACATCACCATGCCCTGATAATTTTTAAATATTTTTTTGTAGAGATGGGATTTTGCTATGTTGCCCAGGCTGATCTCGAACTCCTGGGCTCAAGTGATCTGCCCACCTTGGTCTGGGATTTGGGTCCCAAGGTTCTGGGATTACAGGCCTGAGTCAGGTGTCTGGTTAAGAATGATAAATTTGTATGTTATAAAAAAATAGGTTTATATAAAATACAGTAAGTCCTCACTTAACATCATTGACAGGTTCTTGGAAACTGTGACTTACCTGAAACCAGTTTAACCACAGGCTAATTCATGTAAATACAGAGCTAAGTTCCTATGACATATTCTAGTCACAAAAACATCACCAAACTGCTAGATTAATACCCAAAACACTTCTATTAAAAATGGAAATAAATGTGAGCTACACGTACATTTCAGAAAGATTAATAAAAACAAGGAAAGTAAGTTTTTACCCAATTTTTGGTGAATCAGTGAGTGACAGCAGTCACGTGGTGGTGGGTAAGTCAAGGAATGTGTTTTTGCAATGAGAACATTGTCAGGAGCCCCTTCTCCCACCATGCAGTTGAAAAACGAGCAGTAAAGATGTGGTGGCTCCTCGAGCGCTTTCACACTGCATGGTTTGTTGTCGTGTATCTGTAGGAGTTTCCTGTATTTTACACATTTTTATTTTACTGTCATTTGTATTCATTTATTTCCCAACCCACTTATTCCACTTCAGGGTGGGAGGTAGCCGGAGCCTATCCCCAGCAACTCAAGGCACAAGGTGGTGACCAACCCTGGACAGTACGCCATCCCACCATAGGGTCTGCACACTCACACACACACACACGGTTGCTTAGATGTGGACCCTGTTGACACGCCAGTCAACTGATTGCACAATGCACCTCTTTGGGATATGGGAAGAAACCAAAGTACTCAGAGAAAACCCATACAGACGTGGGGAGAACTTGCAAACCACACAGACAGTGGCCCCGGCTGGGAATCAATTTTTTAAAATCTTATCAACATTATAAAAAGACCATGTTGATCAAAGTGACACTTTTTTGAGGACCTGCTATAATGATAGATGAAAAATAGTTGAGCTCAGGCTGGGTGTGGTGGTTTATGCCTGTAATCCTAGCACTTTGAGAGGCTGAGGTGGATGGACTGCCTGAGCTCAGGAGTTCGAGACCAGCCTGGACAACATGGTGAAATCCCATCTCTACTAAAAAAGATACAAAAAAATTAGCTGGGTGTGGTGGCATTCATCTGTAATCCCAGTTTACTTGGGAAGCTCAGAATGAGAATTCCCAAGTTAAACTGCCTCTGCTTGAGCCCGAGAGGCAGAGGTTGCAGTGAGCCGAGATCATGCCTCTGCACTCCAGCCTGGGCAATAAAGTGAGGCCCTGTCTCAAAAAAAAAAAAAAAGTTGAGCTCAACTTTATAAATATTGACTATAGGTTTGTTTAAAAAAAAAAAGAAAAAAAGCCCAAGCAACAATAAAGCTAAAAAGGGAAAATTTGTTACATGGCAGGGTGAGAAGTTAATTTGATTTTTCTGTTGCTATGATGTTTTGTATTTATCTCTTATTACAAAATTGGTTAAAAACACAACTTTTATTTTATTTTTATTATACTTTAAGTTCTGGGGTACATGTGCAGAACGTGCAGGTTTGTTACATAGGTGTACACATGCCATGGTGGTTTGCTGCACCCATCAACCTGTCATCTACATTAGATGTATATTTGCCTTATTTCCTTCCTTCCTTCCTTCCTTCCTTCCTTCCTTCCTTCCTTCCTTCCTTCCTTCCTTCCTTCCTTCCTCTCTCTCTCTCTCTTTCTTTCTTTCTTTTTTTTTGAGATGGAGTTTCACTCTTGTTGCCCAGCTGGAGTGCAATGGCACAATCTTGTCTCACTGCAACCTCCACCTCCCAGGTTCAAGTGATTCTCCTGCCTCATCCTCCCAAGTAACTGGGATTACAGGTACACACCACCATGCCCAGCTAATTTTTTGTATTTTTAGTAGAGATAGCGTTTCACCATGTTGGCCAGGCTGGTCTCAAACTACTGACCTCAGGTGATCCACCCACCTTGGCATCCCAAAGTGCTGGGATTACAGGCGTGAGCCACCGCACCCAGTCACCACATTCTCTCTATCCAGTCTATCATTGATGGGCATTTGGGTTGGTTCCAAGTCTCTGCTATTGTGAACAGTGCTGCAGTAAACGTGTGTGTGCATGTAAAAACACAATTTTAAAGGCTGTGTCATATATTGTCATTCATCAAGGACTGAAAAAAGGTAAACCCTTACATCTTCATTATGTGGTTTCTCACAGCTGTGCAGATCTTAAACAGAAGCCAGAATAACACACAACTGCATCTTGGAGCTACAAACATTTCCTCCTGATTATACTTAGAGGAAAAGTGTGATTTCCAAGAGCTTTGAGTGGATGTCGGGGAAAATTATGTCAGGTTAACTCTCTGGTTGGCTCATCTGATGACAGAGCTTTAACTACTTGGATCTGATGCTTGGATTGTTTTGTTTGGTTTGGGTTTTTTTTGGAAGTGAGGGAGGCCAGTATAGGATAGAGGAAAGAAGCAAAGCGTTGAGTCCTTTCTGCTAGTAAGTATTTGCCACCTTCATCAAGGCAGCGCCACGTTTCCGCAGCCCTAGCTTCCTTCTTCTGGTCTGATCCTTCTTGCCCCATAAGCTTGTCATTCTCTGATGGTGATTTTTGCTGTGTTATCTACCTTTAACAGCAACAGTGATCTTAATAAAATGTAGTCTCACATTTCCTCCAAGTAGCTAGATGTTCTTAAGGCTTTAGGCACAGCCTTCATTGTATTTAATAGCGGCCGTCTTTCTTTTTGTCCTTGCACCTGTGTAAGCAGGGCACTAAATCTCGTAGGTCTCACCCCGATTGCCTCTTTGCAGCTCCAAAGACACCTGAGTCTCTGTACTTTGACATAGATTTTCTGCTTACATCAGGCAGTTAGGAGTCAAAGGGTGGTGGACCTGGGTCAACACCTCTGCTTTCATCAACACTGCTTTCATCAACCATGTTCCCGAGACCCAGAGTGGGGAGATTCCCATGGCCCCCATTCAGGCACTCACAGAGGCTTCATGAGCATGTGATTCCTGAGCAGAGGTGAGAACGGAGCAGGGACCTTCATGAGTTTTTACTGGAGAAATGGTTACAGAATTCTCAGGCTGTTGTTTCTGAATTCTTTCTTCCTTCTCTTCTTTTTCCCATATTTTTCTTACGTTTTTTCCCCCATCCACACATTAGAAGGCTTCAAGATAATAAGGTAACATTTACTGAGCACATGATGTGTATCAGGCATGTTAACCTATTTAGTCTTCACAACTGCTCTAGGAAGTAGGTGGGTACAGCTATTATCCTCATTTTATAGCCAAGGAAACAGGCAGAGAGGGTAACTTCAAGCTCACTGTGTGGGATGAAGCAAGCTTCAAACCCAAGCAGTTAGCCCAGAGTGCAGGCTCTGGGCCATGTGCTCTGTACATGGTAACAGAGAAGCAGGCCTAGCTTGCCTATGCTCTGGGGAGGAGGCTGATGTGAAGGAGACCAAGGCTAGAGTGAAGAGTGAGGTGGGGTATGTGTGCTGGTGGGGTGTGGGCTGTGTATATGCAGAGCCTTGACCTGTTGTCTTGTCGTCCTGCCATTTACTCTGTGAATATACCCAGTGAACTTAACCTCTTTGCTTCTCAGTTTCCTCATTTGTAAAATTTCAGAAATACAAATAGTGCTTACCCCCTCATAGGGTTGTTGTGATGATTAAATGTGTTAATAAGTCCCTAGGACAGTGGCTGGTCCAAGAATGTTAGCCATTATCATCAGCAGCATCATTGATTTGTGAACCACTCTACCTCCTCTTTCTCCTAGTCAGGTAGTGACAAAAATAGCATTTCTACCAAGTTCCAGGTGGTGCTGATGCTTCCGGTCTGGTGTGGAAACCACACTTTGAGAACCACGGAGGTAGAGGATCTGGTAGCTCTTCCTTTCTTAGCACCCCACATTCCACTTCTTTCCCTGAGCTCTGTCCCTGGGTTGTTGTCACTTCCTGTCTTTACCTAGAGTGGCCAGCTTGTATGGCTATCAAGAACCAGTGAGGGGAGCTTCCCTCACAAGGGCTGGCTTTTAGCAGGATCTGATGGCTAGGGCTGTTTCCACTAGAGGAAGGTGCAAGCCGGTGAGAAGACGGAGGCTAGCAAGTGTTGAATGCATAGTGGGCACAGAACACACTTGAGTGAGTGGATCCAAGACAGCAGATGACTTTGAGAGTAATAGGAGGCCAGGCGGTTTATGCCTATAATCCCAGCACTTTGGGAGGCCAAGGTAGGTGGATCACTTGAGGTAAGGAGTTCCTCAAGACAGGTCTGGCCAACATGGTGAAACCCCATCTAAAAAATACAAAAATTAACCAGGCATGTAGCTGTAGTCCAAGCTACTTGGGAGGCTGAGGCAGGAGAATGGCTTGAACTCAGGAGGCAGAGGTTGCAGTGAGCTGAGATCACACCACTGCACTCCAGCCTTTGTGACAGAGCAAGACTCTGCCTCAAAAAAAAAAAAAAAGTAATAGAAACATAATAGAAAAGTAGAGAAAAGAATCTTCCTCCCTGGAAGAAAACGACCTTTGAGCACAGATGGAGGTGATGGAGGAAAGTGGGGCAAAAAGAGAGAGGGGCCCTAATGACCACATTCATGGTTGAAATTATGGGGTTTGTAAGAAGCAAAGGCTGCAGGTACCTTGGTCTGACCCAGAGAGATGATAGCTTGCCTTTCACAAAGTAAAAGGTAATAGTGTATAAATGAGAAAAGAGTAGGAGTTCCAGTCACTTTACTACCTCTGGGGAGGGAAGGGAATGGGGAGCAGGTCTGGGGTTCAGTGTTTGTGTGACTGCTGACTTCAGAGGTCTGAATTCTCTCTAGCTCACTTGCTGTCTCAGTAGGTGGGGTGTGATGGGACTTCCCGTCCAGGGCTCTCAACTCTAGAATCCAGCCTCATAAGAACTGTGTTGCCTCTGAGCACCTGAGCTCTGTGTGGGATGCAGATACTCTGTGAAATAAGGGTTCTGCTGCTTTTAGGCTGCAAAAGCAGAATTAGGATGTGAATCCAAGCCCAGGGCACTTTGCACCCTGGATCTGGCTGCTGCTTTTAATTGCTGCAACTGTGATAGTGGCTGTTCCCAGGAGTCTCCCAGCCCAAGCCTGATCCTGGAGTGGCTCACCGCAAGTCTCACTGTCCCGAGGCAGGAAGGCTGCAGAGAAAGTTACCCCTGGAGTAGGGAGGGAGAAGGGGAAGCCAGTGCTCTCAAGTGGCCTGCTCTGTGCTCACAGGCCCTGTGGGCTTCCGAACCCTGTCCTAGCCAGGCTGGATCTGTGCCAGGCCTTGGCCCAGCAGCTGTGTTCTGTACCTTGGATTCCTGACAAAGGCAAAATAATTGCTGCTTCCAGCTACAACCAGCTGGCTACAGGGAGAACTCACCAGGGAGAGTTCTGCTGTATCCTCTCTGCCCCTACCCCCAGCTTTCTGTTCTCGAGAATGACACTTTGTTGGTCCTCTGCATATGAGTCCCAGAGTTGGAAATGAAAAAGGAACTGAAAAAGATTAAAATATCCCAATGGGGTGGTGCATTTCAGAATAGTTGTTATGAGCCTGGGGGTTTCCTGTGCACCCCAAGCAGGAAGTTTTGACTTGTTTTGCTCTTGATTGGAGCCTTCCCTGGAAGAAGCAGTTGTTCAAGAGTGAGCTCTTTGTGTTTGTAGACGAGGGGGGGAAAATATATATTTACACACACACACCTTGGGAGGTCAAGGAGGGTAGATCAAGGTCAGGAGATCGAGACCATCCTGGCTAACACGGCAAAACCCCGTCTCTACTAAAAATACAAAAAATTAGCTGGTGTGGTGGCATTTGCCTGTAATCCCAGCTACTTGGGAGGCTGAGGCAGAGAATTGCTTGAAAGATTTTTTTTCCCTTTATCGTCCTAGGTTCTTCAGCTGGGGTCCTGTAAATTAGATTGACAGAAGACAGATTAGCAAGAGAAGCATAAGTTTATTAACTTGTACATCATACACATGGGAGCACTCAGAGATGAGTAACTCAAAGGGGTGGTTGCACCTTGGCTTATATAGCAAATTAAAAGAACAGTAAATTTTTAGAGAAATGACAATGGCAAAGGAAAAGGACTTTGAGTTCCCAATAAATATGTGGGGGAACTAATGGAAGATAAGGGCTAGTTGGGACGGTTGGTTGTACAGACTCCTCTGCTGCCCTCTCGGGGTTGATAAGGGTCTAGAGTTATCTCTGGTGATTCACTTCTGTCCTTCCTGATAGAGAGTGGAGCAGAGACACATTTGAAGATTTATGTTCTGCTTTTAGGCAAATAGGGGGAGGGCAGAGGGCTCTTTTGTATCTGCTGCTGCTTAATTGCCTTCAGCTCAAAATAATCTTAATACTAAAAAGGCATATTTTGGGGTGGCATGTTCTGCTACCTTTCATGTTCAAGAAGATACATTTAAAATTCTTTCTCTTAATCATATTCCTTCCACCCCTTCCATTAATTAAAAAATATTTGCTATTCCATTGACAAACTTTTATTTTGTTAGACCTATGGGATGCAGAGCTGGGGGATGCTGGAGGAGGGTAAAATCCAGAGCTGAGTGCTTCTCTCAGGAAGCTTAGAGTTGAGCTTGCCAGTCAAGCTATAAAGACAAAAGGGTCATTTACTGTAATCCTCACCAGCCCAGCCTCCAGCTCTGGGCCAGCCTCCCTCCTCCTCCAGAAGTCCTCGGCCTTCCACCACCCCAGGTACAGCCCCTCCTTCCTTCTGGGGAAACCCTTCCTGACCCTTCCATCCCTAAACAAATCTGTCTACCTTCTCAACAACCTACTAGTTTTCACAGACTTTGTAGTTTACCACAAACCCCTGGAATGCCTCTTGGTGGCTTGGAGTCTTTAATTTTGGGTGTTGCCATTTCAGCTTTTGGAGGGTCAAAGAAGGCTTCTTTAACTCGTGAGGCAGATTGGTGAGGTTGGCCACTCACAGAACTTCTGGCCTTTCTCCAAACATTTCTATACCTTTCTCTGTCTCCTCTGCCTGGAAAATTTCTATTCCTTCTTAAAAGCCAGGTCAGAAATCACGTCATCCTTGCAGCCCTCCACACTCCTTCAGAGAGACAGAGTCACCATAGCCTGTAGCCCTTTATTCTCCTGTAATTGACTGGTGGGTTCTTCTTGCCCACTGCACAGACAAAATCAATCCACTCAGACAATGGTCTATCAGTAGAGAAAGAGTTTAATTGACATGAGGGTAGGCCACATGGGAGAATGGGAGTTGTCATTCAAGTTGACAACTAGCCTCTGACCACTGCTCACCAAATTGTCCATAAAAACCTTAACCCCGAAGGCTTGGAGGTTAAGGTTTTTATGGACAATTTGGTGAGCAGTGGTCAGAGGCTAGGGAATGGGTGCTGTTGATTGGTTGAGGATGAAATCAGGATGTGGAAAATGGTCCTCATGCACTGAGTCTGCCTCTGGTTGGGGCCACAGCATCAGTTGAGTCACGAGTCATGAGTCTGAATGGGGTCAGTCTGAAAGATATTTCAAAAAACCAATCTTAGGTTTTACAATAGGGATGTTATCTATAAGAGCAATTGGGGAAGTCAGAAATCTTGTGACTTCTGGCCACATGACTCCTGAGCAGTAAGAGATTGTAGAAACTATGCCATCTTATCAGAATTCAGGCCCCTCTTAGAATCCTAACCTTGTGATCTTTCACTAGTTTTACAAAGGCAATTTAGTTTTGGGAACTAAAGCTATTATCATCTTTGCTTTAAGGTAAAACTAGAAACTAAATTCCTCCCAAAGTTAGCTTGGCCTACCAGGAATTATCAAGGATAGGTTGGAGGTCAGAAGCAAGATGGAATCAGCTATGTCAGAATTATCTTACTGTCATAATTTTGCAAAGGCAGTTTCACCCTTTTACGACATTTTTATTTTTATTTTTAACTTATTTATTATTTTTAGAGACAGGGTTTCACTCTGTCACCCAGGCTGGAGTGCAGTGGCACAATCATAGCTCATTAAAAAGCCTTGACCTCTCAGGCTCAATTGATGCTCCTGC